ACAAGGAGTTGGGTCAAGGAAAGCAACTTTATTCAGCAAGCCAACAATGCAAGAAGATGGCAGACTAGCATCCTAAAGAACCATCTTGAGGAAGTACATTATTCAGGGGAACGCGGGGGGGTCTGAGGTCAGGAGGTGATTGATGATCATGGGCATCTGCACGTCAGCTGTCAGCAAGGGTCCAAGGGGGATGGGGAAACTTCAAACTCCAGTTGCTGTGGTCTCATTCACGAGGGCCCTAGAATCTTCTGATGAACAATCATTATTTTTGTACATACCTTCCTTATCTCCTTGAGGAGGTATAATTTCGAGAAGGAGGTCGTTGCAGTAATTTCTATGCTACAGGTTAGGCTCCATTAATTATCAGCATGTCTACGTGCAGGACTAAGCAGAAGTTGCTAGCCGACATGTCAGGCTCAAGCAAGATGGAGTCAGAAAGACTGATTGTTTTATTCTATTAATCACCTCACTCCTCTTCTTGCTCTTGTACCTCACTCTTGAATTTAACTTCAAACACTCTTTTCCTTAATTCTATTGCTTGCTTATTGATGATCTACATGAATGGAAAATAAGCTATGTAAGATTCAAGAAAAAAAGACTCTTGGGTCAAAAATTGGGACAAATTACAGGCGTGGTGATAACTTTATTCTTTAAACCTAAGAGCTTGAAATTCTCTTCAATGTAACTACTGACTTTAATCTTATTATGAAAACTTTCAAACATTCACAAAGTGGAGAGACTAGTATAATGACCCCTAATACATGAGACACCTAGATTAAGAGAGAAAACAAAGGAACAACATGTTTTGAGACCTCTACTATGACAAAGGCAGTACTATGGCAGTATCTTACATGTAGCAGAGTAAGACATTTTTTTATATCCTTTGCAAGAAGCTTGTTATTTATTTCCTGAAGAATCACTAGAGTAGTCCTATTCTTTATGCAAATGTCTGGCAGGCAGTGGTCTTTAATGAAGGTATAATGTCCTGTAATGAGAATGTAGCAAGTATCTTTTATCACTCCGTCAAGTCTGTCACTGTGGTCTCCTAGAATATAAAGCTGGTCACTAGGGCAGAGGTAGATCAATTTGCTTAAAGGAGCCCAAGGTCTTCTGGAAGAGAATAAATCCTAAATATCCTCTCTGGAGATAACCTCTCCCACCTCTCTGAGATATGAAATTAGAGAACGCTGGTGGGATGAATAGAGCAGGCTTCATTCACCAGGGCCAGCAGAAGGGACTGGCAGCATGTCCCGTAAAATAAAATTAATGTAGAGAAAGGGGTTGTCTGGACAGGTAGCTCTAACTCATGACAAACAAATAATTCAGAGGTAAGTAGCAATACATATATTTATACTTTTTCCACATAAAGTATTACTTACATCCTTCTCCTGAACAAGATACAACTTTTATCTAGTTTTGGATTTCCCCTCCTTCACTTTCCACTGCATTGAAATTATCTGAAAATTCAGCTCTACATCAATTTTGTACTCCATACCTCTACTTTCCTAGAAAAATTATCTATGTATAAAATACTGTTGCTTGTATTTTAAAATGAATGGGGAATAATTTAGAGTCAGTTGTAGTAGACAAAGCAAGAGCTGTTCAAACCCATACAGCCTGCTCAATGGCTGCAGACGTCCTCATTCTAACCCTGACTTAGTTTCCATCTTGCTTCCTTATCTGAATAGTTCTCACCCTTGATTTCCCACCTCAGGTCCCATTTCCCCCTTGAAAACCCGCCAAGCATCTTACATCCCAGAAATGTTTTTCTGCCTCTGAATTCCTGACATACTTAACATTCATTTTCATACTCTTGTTACAGTTTATGTATATAAACTAAAGTGGAACTTATTTGAGAGCAGTGACTGCATTCTAAATCTCTCTGGATTCTTCAGGGGCTTTAATGTAATGTTTTATGTGTCAGTGAACATCAGACTAAAACTCTGATTTGATCGGAACACATGCGTTTTTCCCCTACTGCTCTTTGGTTCGTTATAGCTTAGTAACCATCAGCGACAACTGGGAATCTTAGGGCTGTTATTGGTCTACCTAGCAACCATTAGGGTTCCCAAGGATACACACTCTGAAGACATACCCTTTTGATATGGTAATGAATGAAACTAAGGAGGCAGTCCTAAAACAGAGTGCATTTCCATATGAACTGAAATCATATGTCAATATTAGAACCACTGTATAAATAAGTGTAGCTTTATGATCTCAGGAGAAGCTATTATTGTCCTCTCTATAATCAAACATTTTATTTTAGTCACATCAAGCAAACATTTCTAACTTTAAAAAAATTAAATAATGAGGACACTGTCAACTAAAAACTAATATTGACTAGGTGTTTCATCACCAAAAAGGATTTATTCGTGAAAAAAAAAAGGGTTGTAACCCAGGGCAAGCGACGTGCACACTTTGGCCTGCATGCCAAGATTGGAGGGGTATTTATAGAAGGGGAAAGGATGGTAAGTGAAGGGGAGGTTAGAACCATAATGCTTTATTACAGAGCTCTTCCTGCAGGGTTCCCGCGTGTAGGGTTCTCACATGTAGGGTTCTCGTGATTATGTAGAGTGGAAGACCTTCCATAAGCCCTAACCCTACTCACAGGCCCTCCCGACTGATTGATTGTTTGCTTAAAGTTCCAGTTAGTCTTCATCAACATATGGAAGAGTACCAAGAACAATATTTATAACCAACTATATACAGATAAGCCAGATTTAACAAATATTAACATTCAGACAAATTTTTCCTAAGAAATAAAACATTATAGAGGGTGGAAGGCAAGAGAATAGAAATCAAAGAACATATTTCAAAGCTACTTTACAGAAATTGTTCACAGAAGATAATAAATAACTAGATTAGGTTTAAAGGAGATGGGTAAATCCAAGATTTTCTGTACAAAAGGCTATGTGACTTCTTGGATAGTACAATCAAGGAAAGCTAGTAAGTTGTGAGGGGTCTAAGAAATAATCTCTGTGATATTTGATTTATAATATTTATAAGAAATATATATTTGGTCTTTGTCCCATTGCTGTCACAGAGCTCCTGAAACCCTTGTAAATTCCTAAATGATAACAGCACTTGGAGCATATTTTATTCTAATGAGGTGACTCTGGGTGGGCTCCTGGATGGATTCTGGTCACCAGAAAGCCAAGCCATGATTAGAAGCTTAGGAATTTTCAGTCTCACACCCCACATCCCAGGAAAAGGCCTGGGAAGGGAGCTAATAACTGATCATGTCTATGTGAGGAAGCCTCCATAAAATCCCAATAGTACGGGGCTCAGAGAGCTTCCAGGCTGGTGAACATGTCCATGTTCCAGCAGGCTGACATACTCCAACTCCATAGGGATAGAAGAAGCTCCTGTGTTTGGGACTCTCCCAGACCTCGCTCTATGTATTTCATCTGGTTGTTCATCTGTATCCTTTAATAAACTGGTAAATGTAAATAAGCATTTCCAAAGTTGTTCAGAGAATTGTCCTGGCAAAAGCAACATCTTACACTGAGAGATACAGACAGTTTAACCTCTGGGCCCCCAACGTCTAATGGCAGAAAGCAGGCTGTGAGAATCACTTATAGGAAAGGTATGATAACTTAGGTAGAGCAAGAATCCCACAAGAGGCCAAAACCAAGAACCAATGAGAATAACGAATTTGGAAAATCCAGAGAACAGAAATGGGACCAGTCACTTGAGTTTGGGGAAAGGGCCACATGCACTGGCCAGATTTCAGACTGCTCTGTGTAACTACTATGTGTCATTCATTTCCTATTATTCTTAGAACATGAGTTTTTCTTGCAGTTATCCTACCCTTTTCTCACCAATGAATACTGGGTATGGTCAGGGGTGGGAGGTGGGAAGACAGGTGTTTTTAACTTACACATCTCCAGATCAAGATGAACTGAACCTGAGGAATCTCATCCGCATTTGGACCTAATACAGATGACAAGATCTTGCAAGGACTTTGAGCCAGCAGAGTAATACGATGACATTTGAAGGCAATGGGGGAGATGAATGCATTTTGCAGGTGGGAAGAAGATCAATTCTAAAGGATAGACTGTGGTGGATTGTTTCTAAAGACAGCTGCCAATAATTTCTTCCTCTCTGCATGTGCATGTCGCTCCACCAATCAAAACGTAGAACGTAATTCCCCTCCCCTGAGAATTTGGACTGGACTGTGACTTGCTTTGTCCTATAGAATGTGTTAAAAGTGACATTTTAGACCATCCAAGCACAGGCCTTAGGAAGTTTCTGCTTTTGGGGGGAATCCAGCTGCCTTATAAATAAGCTTGGGCTAGACTACTGAATAGAGAGAAGGGACTTCAAGGCTTGGTTGGCTTCCAGTGCTTCGTGCCAAGGTCCCAAACATGAGGGAAGCTATCCTGGATATTTCAGCCCAGCTTAGCTTCCAGATGCATGAATGACTTCAGCTGATGCTACACGAAACAACAATAAGCCATTGTCACTGAGCTCTGCAACAAACTGCATAATCATGAACAAATAAATTATTGTTTTTAAAAGCCACTAAATTATTGGGGTGGTTTATTATGGAACAATAAAAAACTAAAACAGGATGCTTGAGAACATTTTTGAGACAGTGGGGCACACTCTTTTTAGGGAAACAGAATGATTTAATAATTAGGGGCTCACATATGTTGAATTTGTGATCAGAGGGATCTATGAACAGAATGTTGCGCTGTTAAATTGATAACGCCTTTAAGAAGAGTAAAACAGGGTTGTAAGTTTATATAATACTTTAAGTACTGATTGATCCAACAATGATTTACTGATAATCTCTTATGTTCCAGGCACTAGATGCGTTTCAAGGTGACTTAAATTAATTTAGCCAGCTAGCAATTTAAAAAATATTTTTGTAAATATGGTAGCTTCTAGCAATTAAAAGTAGGTGGGTCTGGGGCTGGCCGAGTGGCTCAGTTGGTTAAGCGCTCGCTCAAAGGTTTGAGCTCTGAGCAACAGCGGTTCGATTCCCGGCCCGAGATGAGCAGCCGCTGAGCTGCCAACAGGTAGCAGGATGGCTAACCTAAAAAAAAAAAAAAAAATGTAGGTGGGTCTGTTTCTCCACTTCTCCACCCCAATTCCCAATAGCCTTGATGTCACTGGCATCTTACACTAAAAGTAAGTCATAGACCAAATTCTAAGAAATGTATTAACATTTATTAGAATGTCATTTTAATATATATAGAAATTATGGTCTTTCCATTGTGAGAATGCAGAATTCCATTAAGAAATACACATTAAGATTGTTGGGGAGCAAGAGAGAATTCCCGCACTCTATCCCTCTTTAGCCCTTATGGCTGAACTACTTATAAAATTAACACAAGACTAGATTAACAGGAGGAAAAAACAATCTAATTTACGTGCACCAGGAAATCACAATATGATCCTCAGATCATAAAATGAAGCTCAAAGAAATGATGAACTTGGCACCTTTTTATACTTTTTTAGACAAAGAAACAAATTGGTGAGAAATTGACAGGACAAAGGAAGTTAATGCTCATTAGAAAGAATCTAAGCAGGTTTGGGTATTTGTTAGCGAGGAATTTAAACAGAGTTTGGGCTTGGGTAGTAAATTGGTAAAGGTATTACAAGGCTTGTTTACACACACTTTTTTGACTCTGGATTTTATAACTCTTGTGATAGGTTTTCTCTCAGGCCTTCAGAAGCAGGGAGAGCACCTGTCATGGAGATTTATTTCCTGCTTTTAAGGGGACTGAGGAGAGTCAAAGAGCTCTTGCTGCTTCTCAGGTGATTTTAGTTCAAAATAATCAATATGCCATCTGGGCCCTAACAAGCTGATGAAGCAAATCAAAATCATAGTACTAATACTTTTATGGCAGGTTCGGGAATAAGCTGTTTATCATTAGTATATTTTAATGTTTTTTTTGTTTGAATGCTTTAAAGAGTTTGACACATTTAATATTTTACAGCTTATCCTTATGATCCCAATACAAAAAGTTTCATTGATTTAGGCTTCCACTTTAAAGGCATAAGACATGTTGAAAGGCATAAGACAATGTTATTAGGTTTATAAATAGTATTATAATTTTTAGAAGTGCTTGAGATTCAATATAAATATGTATATGAAAAAGTCAGACAATTAAGTTCACGAACTTTCCACCATCTAAGTGCACAGTGAAAAGTTCATAGACTTAATTGTCTCACCTTCGTACATATTTAATTTTCTAGATTTATGAGTTATTTAAATATTTGGGAAGTTTTGCCACTCAGACAATTGAAATATTAAATCAAAAGTGTAAATGGAACCAAGCAGTAATTAAAGGCCTCTTAAAATAATTGTTAAAATTTTTGAGATTTATAAATTAATAATTTGATTTATAAGTGAAGTTAAAAGTTTAAGAAAAAGGTATTAAAATTTTAACTTTAGTAAGTCAAAAATTAATTTTTAATAACCTCAACTAATCTTTTCCTAAGTCATTGTCAAACACACTAAAATATCCTCACTGACATAATATGGATCAAGAGTTCATCAGTGTTCAGTGTAGCTTTTGTTGAAAAAGAAGAAAATGCTACTGTGTGTGTGTGTGTGTGTGTATGTGTGTGTGTGTGTGTGTGTTCTATTGCTTTCTTTTTCTATTTGTTTAATTCAATGGCTAAAATTTACATTTATAAAACTTGATTTGAATGCTTAAATATTTTAATAAACTGCTAAAAAACAGTTTGTTTGTTTTTGAGTAATGCTCTGTATGGAGCAGAATTGTTCAAAAGTGGCCCAGAGCACTCATATTAAGCTTCCTAGATGATAGGCAGCTCCATCCACCAGTGGAGAGGACTGCAATTGAACTCAGCTACCTAATAGCTGGTGGCTTCCTCTACCCAGCGGAAGGGTTACAATTTCTCATGGGTCCCATGATCTCTAGAAAGGAGTGGATCTAGGTTGTGCGGACCTGAAGTTTATCCTTCTCCTTTTGCTGACCCTTCATTTTTATTTCCCAAATAAACCTTATTCCTTGACCATATCATGTGACACTGTGGAATTCACTTTTTCCCTCTTCATCTTAAGTTCTACTATTTGTGTGCTGGTTCAGTGCTATGACTTTACATCTCTTTCACATGCAGCTATGAAGAAAATTAATTTGAAATTTTATCCTGTCAAATACAATGGAAGTGTAAGATATAGCCCTGCAGTCACAATTATGTGTAAATGGAATGTAAGAAGTTTAGAAAGACAATTAAAATAATTAAATTAGACAATGTCATTCTTATCAGCAAATTATGACAGATCTGAAAAATGTTAGGAATAAAAGTGGCTATTGCTGTAAATTATGAGTATGTTTTTGCACTATATCATCCTTTTCTATTTATGCTATTAACTTGACTTTCTTATTAAATACAAGGTTTTCAAGAGCAAACCTATCTTAAGCTGAGAGGGGGAAAAACATCTCAGTTTATGGACTTCAGTTTCTGCAGGTGCCCCAGGGTGATAAGTAGTTTTAGAAAGAAGACTAAAGAGAGCAGGTGTGGTCTTGGTTCTTCTGCCTTTTACCTGCTGACTCCACTCTAGCTCATCTGTAAAGTGGAGATAATAGAGCTTACTCTGCCAACCTGACAAAGTTATTTTGTAGTTTAGCTGAACAAATGGATGAGACAGGATCTCTAAAGTTCAGAGGACAGGTACTACTGTATTCCCCTTACTCATTGCTCCATAATGCTAAAAACACACACAGCATCCATCCCTGTGCCTTGAACACATTGCTCTCTCCTCTTTGCCTGTTGACATTGCACTTGACCCTCTAAGCCCATGTTCAAATGCTATCACCTAGAGCTTTCACTGAACACCCCATCTGCAGTCTCCTTTATTCTGAAAGCAGTTATCATATAATTGTTCAGCTCATACTTTTTGCTACCTGTATATTATTCATATTCTTATAATGGATCAATTATGCAGAGGGTGCCAAAAAAATGTATATTCATTTTAAGAAAGGAAAACTGTATTAAAATTGTAATACTCAATATATACCAATAACAAAAGATGAATACAAGTCACATTTGACTTCTGCAATTACCAAGTGGTTACCATCAGCACCAGACACTTCTGATTACGGTGAACTACTGCTTGAGCAACATTGACCGAAGTGTCCACTTGTATACATTTTTTTGGCATCCCTGGTATTTTTCAATAGTACAATGCAATGCATTGAAGGTAGAAAGCAGACAGTGTTCACCTTCATGTGCTGAGCAAATGTTACCTGTCTATTGCTGGGCAATGTGGGGATTCTAAGGTGAGCACTCTTCCTGTTTCACAAGTGCAATGTAGTAGCAGAAATAAGGCATTTTGTTTATTGACTATTCATAGTAATTACCATGAAACACTACAGAAACCATTAGCATCTAGATGGTACCTGAAACCCAGACAGTAAAGGAGTTTGGTCTGAAAGAGAGATGAGAGCCTAGGGCAAACCTCGGAAATTCAATGCGTAAGACAGGAGAAGATGCTGAGAGTCCAAGGAAGGCTGTAAGCCTAACATTGCTCTTAAAAAGGTCTATTTTTTTAAAATGAGCACTGAAAAAAAATGTTCAACATCATAAATCATCAGGAAAATGCAAATTGCAACAACAAGATACCACTGCCCATCCATTAGAGTACTTAAAATTTAAAAGACTTAAAACATCAAGTATTGGGGAGAATATATAGCAACTGGGACTCAAAAGTTGCTGGGGGGAATGCAAATGGTGTGGCCATTTTGGAAAACAGTTTGGCAGTTTGTTAAAAAATTAAATATACTAATAGTACAACCCCCAAATTCCACCCCTCCATATTGAGTCAAAGAAAATGAAAACATATATGCATTTTAGGTCTTGATCCAGAATAATTGTAGCAAATTTATTCATGATAGCTCAAAACTGGGTCCAACCCAAATGTTGATCAATAGATGAATGAATAAGCCAATATGTTCCTATATATTGTTAAATAGTATTCTTAATATGGATATATCATAATTTTATTTTTTTTCTAATCAATAGCTGATAGACATTTGAGTTGCTTCCAATTCAGGGCAATTATAAATAAAACTACAAATATCCATGCAGGAGTGTTTGTATGGACATAAGTTTTCATTTCCCTTGTGTAAACGCCTAGGGGTGGAATTGCTGGGTTGTACATTAAGGGTTATATGTATAAGAAAATGCCAAACAGTTTTCTAAAATGGATGTATAATTTGCATTCCCAACAGCAATATATGAGAGTCCAAGTTGCTCTGTATCCTAGCCAGCATTTGCTATTGTCATTTAAAAAAAAGTTAACCTAATAGATATTATTATGAATTGAATTATGCCCCCCCCCGCTCCGCCAATTTATGTGTTGAAGCCCTAACCCCAAGTGTGACTGTATTTAGAGACAGAGCCTCTAAGGAGGTAATTAAGGCTAAGTGAGGTCATAAGAGTGGGGGCCTGATCCAATAGGACTAGCGTTCTTAGAAGAAGAGATACTAGGAGTACATGTGCACAGAGGAAAAGCCAAGCAACACAAGGATATACAGCCATCTGCAAGCCAGGAAAAGAGGTCTCACCAAAAACTAACGCACCAGCACCCAGAACTGTGAGAAAACAAATTTCGGTTGTTTAAACAACCCAATCTGTGGTAGTCTGTCACAGCAGCTTGAACAAGCTAATACAGTTCTATAGTGCTATTTCACTGTAGTTTTAATTTGCATGTCCCTAGCCATTAATAATATTGAACCTCTCTTCATGTACTTATTTGATATTTCTAGCTCTTCTTGTGAAGTATATGTTTGTACATAATTATGCATATTAGAATACCAAAACCAATTTTTGCTCCAAAGATTTCTTAATTTGTTAAGATCATTGTTCTTACCATGATGCTGTGATCCATCAGTACTTACATTTGAATAATCTTTGCAAAAATTAGGTTTCAATGCTGAAATTTTTAAACAGAATTTATAATATGGCTTTCACAATAATGTTAGATATTTAGATATTTCACCTTGGATAGAATGACCTTCCAAAAACTTTTTTTGTTTTTGATTGAACAAAAACAAAATT